CTGCGGCTCTTATGGGCGAACAGGGAGGAGACTGCTCCCCTCCCGTCCGCTCCCTCGCTTCCTCCTCGCCATCACCACATTTACTGAATGTCCACTGTGTGCCCAACAGAGAGCAGACCTGCAGGAACCATATCTTTCTGTATTTTAAAATATGTTTTTACTGATTTTAGAGAGGGAGGGAGAGAGATGGTGAGAGAGAAACATCGATTCGCTGCCTCCTGCACGCCCCCTACTGGAGATCAAGCTGGCAACCAGGGCATGTGCCCTGACGGGGAATCGAACCGGTGACCTCTTGGTCTATGGGTCGATGCTCAACCACTGAGCCACACCAGCTGGGCCAGAAACCATTTCTTAAACACCTAAATGATTGAAGGCATGAATGCATTGGCTTCCTACAAGAGACTGGCTGTCATCACTCTCATCTTGTAGAAGACAAGTCTGGGGGCTGGAGCGGTTTCCTAACAGAATCCCAGGACTCAGGACTGGTGCTAGGTGGAGCCAAGGTGAAACCTGTTCCACCAGCCAGCGAGGTCGCCAGCCCAGGCCGTCTAGGGTCCCTGTTCAGTTCCTGAGCCCTGGTCCCCTCTACCGTCTTTCGTATCCAGGGTTCCCTGTCAGAGGGTCCCAGGATGGAGGCTGCGTAGACACAGCCAGTGGGTAGTCAGCGCAGACTCTGCCGAGTAACTAGCTAATTATTTCCAAAAATATTGACTTGTAGTAGAGAGAAAGCTCTTCTCCATGCCACCCGTCAGCAGAAAATTGCCTTTGGTATTAACATTTCATCAGCCACATAATGTGAATTGATGTAAATGCATAATTAGAAATAATAGCCTGGGAAAATTCATTCTTATTTATAAAATTGGGCTCGTTAAATTACGAGAGCTAACGACTCGCATCTCACTCCTTCAATGTGTCCGAGGCTCGAGGCTCAGCCTGCCCTGCTCTACAGGGGAGCCCAGCTGCATCAGCCGCTCTGCAGGGGCACCCTGGAGAGGGGATGCCCTCTGAGGAGGTGCAGACACCACCTGTCCAAAAGGGGGCTCTCTCGTTCCGTGAACCAGTCACTCAAAAACATCTTCATCAATGTGTAACAGATGACAGCCTCTGAGGAAAGGAGCCTGGGTGACAATTTCCTCAGCCCTCGGTCTTCCTGCGGAGTGGGGCCAGCCCCCCCCCCATCCCAGGGCTGTTGGGAAGCTGTGGTGAGTGCAGGTGCCTGAGGCATGGATGTGCTCTGAGCTCTCTCGAGTTTGCAGAGGCCCCAGAGCAGAAGCTGCATCTGCTCATTGTCAGTATTTATATCCATTCACAGGCCAGGTGTGCGGAGATGGCAAAGGTCAAGTTTCCAATCCTTGGACTTCACCACCTAGGGGGGAGGGACAGACTTTAAACATGTCTTTATTTTGGTTGCAAGTGACAGAAAAACAATTTACGCAATCTAAAATGAACAGAGAAAAAAGAAATCTGCTGTCTCATGTGGAGTAAGTTTGAGGCAGAGCTTGATTTAGGGACTCCAGCGAATCCATCAGGACCCTTGTCCTGTCTGTCTCTTTCCCTAGGCTCATCTCTACTCTTTCAGGTTGTGTCCCCCCCACGCATCCCCACTTTGTGGGGAAGGCTGATACGGGCATGCTGTTCACATTCACAAGGAACGGCTGTTTTTAAAGGAAAAAGCCTGCGGGTCTTCTGATATGGAGATAACCCTCCCTTCACACCATGTCCTTCCTCCCAGCTTCAGAGCTTGCCCACCGGGATGCCCTGGCTCCCGACCACAGAAGTAGGTCCAGGGCTGCTCAGGGTCCTGGCTGGACATGATGTCCAGGCATAATGAGTCTGGCCAGAGTCACCAGGAAGGCACACTCTTCAGTCCCCAGGATGATGGGCTGTAAGGACAGCCAGGGCTGTCCTGGCACCACCTGGGGAGAAGCCAGTGCTGAGACAGATGGCCCTCTATGTGCCCCTGTGCATCAGGCCTGCAGGGAGGTGCACCCCAGACTCCCCAGCTCCAGTACCCAACCTTTTACTCTCCAGTGGGAGCTCAGTTTTCTGCCGGCAGTATCTGTGCTGGTCTTTATCCCAGATTAAAAATCCTGTGTCAGATAGCAGCCACTGCCGTTTCTAATAGGCTCAGCTTGCAGGAGCCCTCCTTCTAGAAGCCCTTGCTGATGTGTGCATGGTTTCATCTTCCAGCTGTGTTGGCATGTCATTGGTCCCTCGCGGTGACACAGACTGTGCCGTCCTGGGAGGGTCTCCAAAGCCATCCTGTCTCCCTCCAGTCTGCACCTGCGGCAGAGCCCAAGGGGAGGGCCTGTCTCGCCCTGGGGAGGGCGGGAAGACTGGGATAGAAATACGTGCATTCCCTCCCGAAGAGTGAGATGCAGGGTTAACGATAAGGCCCGGGGAAGAGGAGACAGAAAGAGACCCCCCCTTGGATATTTTTCATCTGTTTTCAGGGGGCTCCGAGGCCCTGTATTCTGTGATGATGCATTTGGGTTCCAGGAGCAGAATTTATCTTAATCCTACCATCAGGGCCTCCTTTCGGGGGACCACATGCGAGGTGGCTGCCCACACTGTTCCCTGGACTTGCTGGCTGACCTTGCAGGCAGACATGGTCCTGCAGCTGGGCTGTCCTGTGTCCTGCTCCCTCTTCATAGGGTCCCCACTTTCTAGGAAACAGCCCACACCCACTCTTGAAAGGATCACAGGGGAAACTCTTCAACTGCTTCCTGGTCGATGGAGAAGCCTAAGCCAGAGTGGGGAAGGGCTGCCCGGGGTGGCACAGGGGTCGCACAGCGGTCACGGGCAGAGGCCGGGCCTCTGGCTGCATCAGGGCAGGGCCTGGGAGGCTCGTTCAGGATCCCTCAGCCTTCCATTTGCTGGCCCCACCTGGTCCCCCCAGGGCACAGGGGACCCGGAGGAGGGATGCTCATAGCCCAGCCTGGGCCTCCCCCGCCTCCTCCCCTCCTGCTCCCCCAGTGACACAGGTTCCCTTTTCATTGGGGGTAGAAAGCTGATGCTTGTCTCCAGGAACAGCTGGGCCTTGTCCCCTCAGCTGTGGCCCGGAGCCTGCAGTGGGCTGGACAATCCCAGCTGTGTTCTGGGGAACCAGGAGCCAACGGAAGCAGCTTGGCTGGGGCCCAGGCGCAGTGGGGGGTGTTGGGCACGTGAGGCTGGAGGCGGGGCCTCTTTTTCTTTCACAGCCTTGCAGACTGGGACCTGTGCTACCGGAGGGGGTCCCCCTGGCACTCTGAAAGGGGTGCTGAATGGAGGCTGCAGGGGAAGAGCCCGCAGGAGCCTCTTTCACTGGCCCCAGGGGAATGTGAGCTGTGGGTTCCTCCCCTCTAGCAGCCTCCCGGAGCTCAGGGCTGTACTGTGGGGCCGGTTCCAGTCTGGCCTCGGTGGTGGCATTTATTTCTGGCTCTTACACCTTCAGCTCTGGGGCTGGACCGTCCCTCCTGCTGTGCTGTCACCAGGCAGAAGCCTCCTATCCCCCATACCCAGCCCGGGCTCCTCTGCCTCTGCTCAAGAGAAGGGTTGGGCAAAGGCCCTGGGATAAATGAGCATGGCTGCCAGATGTGGGCTGTGGGTGTGGCATGGGGGACACCACCTGTACACTTGGGTGCTTCCCAGGAATGAGGGAATCCACCACGTGAATTTATTGGTAGACTCAGTTGTCCTGTCTGGACCTTGGGGTAACAGCTTCTTCCAACCAGGTATCAAAGCTGGAGGAGTTGTGGCGACATTTCTACTCAAGTAGCTGAAGGACTGTCACGTGAAGAGACTCAATTTGCTGTATGTGGCCCTGGGGAGCAGAATCAGACCTATCGGGAGATGGGTTTTAGGTGTGTTTAACGTCATAGATCTTCAGGGATGAGAATGGTCACTCTGTGAGGTGGTGAGTCATCTGTCACTGGCAGAGTCCAAGGGGAGCTAAGGTTGGAGTCAAGTCTGGTGGGACAGCTGACCTTTGGTGATGATGGAGCAGAGGTGTCTTAGGTACCAAGGGGGTGGGACTTGTTGACTCCGGGGACTCCCTTGGTGGCCTCTGTGTGGCTTGAATGTGGAAGAATGTCCTGGAGAAAGGGGCAAGCCCCTGCAGACCTGGGCCTTTGGGTAGCTTGGCTCAGAGGACAGAGTTGGCTCTGAGCTCTGGGCGCGATTGCGTCTAGTGCTTGATAAGTCTTACAGCTTGATTGATTTCATTCCGGCCCTGGAGGGAAGTGAGGGAAGATTTCTTGATTTGAGAAGACCAAATTAGGAACAGATGTCTCTTCAGGCTATTAATAGGCGGTTGGGGGAACAATGGGCCTTGTTTTGAAAGGAGCCGCAGCCGGTGGTTGCTGCTGTCCCTTTGAATGTTCCGTGTTGGAGCGTGTCTTCTTGGTGGTGAGAGTCGTTTGCCATGAATGGCCTCTGATATTCTATCCAGGTCCTGAGACAGTGGGTCTAAATTTAACCTCTTTCCCTAAATTTCCCAGCAAGGGGCCAGAATCCATGCCAGATTCTGAGAAATGGGCACAGCACAGAATGCTGTGCAGAGACGGGCCCTGGGAGGCCCAAGGCGCACACACTGCGCAGCAGGGCCTGGATTCTTCAGCGTGGAAGTCTGGGCGGGGCTTCTAGCCAAGTGACTAGGAACGGCCAGGGAGGCTCTTAGCAGTGCTCACAATCACAGTTGTTGAAAATTAAGTGTCGATCACTCCGTGTGTGTGTGTGTGTGTGTGTGTGCGCGCGCTTCGCTCTATCTCAATTTAAAAATTAATACCACTTAGCTCATTAAAAATAATATGAGTGAGGAAAATGGCTTTTCTTTGAGAAAAGAAGTCTCCAGCCTTTGTGGTGATGGGCCCCTCTGGAGAAAGTTAATTATGCTGCAGACGAGGGCCTTGATTTCACACGGTGGATGGAGTCGGTGTCTCTGCCCTGCAGGGAGGGAATCTGCTCTGGGGCAAGTGTTACTTCTGAGCAGCCTCTGTTGGCAGGTAGCTTCTCACACTCACGGCAGGCGGTCAGGAGCCTGCGGTTGGAGGAAATGGTGTCGTGGTGAGCTGTCAGCTGACCTTCCATGGTCCCACTAAGCACCCTCTGGAAGACGGGACCCTATCTGGGCAGAGGAGGAAGTGGGATGGCAGGGTGGGGCTGCTCCACGTGCTGGGTGGGCAGACGTCACTGATGCCCAGGGAAGCTGGAGAGCACAGAGCCATGTGGGTGTGGCCTGATAGGATGGTCCACGACAGTGACAGGGACAACCATGGACTGGGAGTCCCCTGATTTCAAATATGCCCCCTGCTTCCCATTCACACGTGTCTTGTTGTTGGACCTTAGGTCTCGATGAGGGCTTTTGGTCACCATAGAGACAAGATGTACACAGGTGGCCGCAGTGCAGTCAGGAAAGGCCGCTGTTCAAGAGGCTCTCAAGCCTTCAGGGCTCCAGATGGGAGTGGACGCAGCACAGCTGAGGACTCTGGGGAAGCCTGGTTCAGAAATGGGTAGTTAGGGCCAGGTTGAGTTGTCACCACAGGAAGTCAGGAGAGAGGGCTGCTTCCTCCTGCGGGGTCCTGGCCTCGAGCCTCTTTGCTTGGCTTCCCCGCGTCCGTTCCTCTGCTCAAAGACACCTGAAAGTGTTCCTGGGGCTCATTCGCTTGAAGAAGTTGCTTTGGGCGGGAGACATTTAGTGCTGGTTAGAAGAGGAGGCGATTGTAAGGGCAGCAATTGCCCAAAGCGGTGTGACGCCGCGGGCGCCCAGCCCCTGCCCGGGTGGCCTCTCCTTCCCCTCATTTAGGGTGTAATCCGAAGGAACGTGAGCCTGTGGAGCAGGAAGCCCGCCTGCCTGCTTCCTGGAGCCTCCAGAGCCAAGAGCGGCCAGGCTCACGGGCGGTGCTTCAGTCGCTCACTCATTCGTTGTTCTCTTGGTTCTGAACACTGGGCCAGGCTGCGGTCTGGGCCAAGGGTGTCCAGAGATGGCCGCGCTCAGCTCCTTGCTCCAAGCTCACAGCTGGTTGGAGAGATGTACCCCCCTTTCCCACGGCAGACCAAGGGATCTGGCGGGAGCCAGGAATTCCAGTGCTGGGTTCCCCAGGCTCCCAGGAGGAGGTACAGCCACTCTCATTTTGGGGGCCCCTGAGAAACGTTGAGCTCCTTCTGGCCTCACCAACAGCAGCCTTAGGGGCTGACCACACACAGGTCTCCCCCAGGGCCATCTTCCTCGGGGAAGTCAGAGGGCGGAGGCTGTAGCCTTCTGTATTGCGTAGAAGAGCACGTGGAGGGAGGCTCAGCAAGGCTGAGTAAGGTGCCCAAAGTCTCACAGTAAGAGACAGAGCTGAGATTAGAATCCCGATCTGCGTGAGACAGAGCTTAGGGCTCTAACCATTGGGTGAAAGTGCTGGATGGGTGACTTGGGCCGGTTCCTTCCCGTCTCTCGGCCTCAGTTTCCCCAAGGAAGCACCATGCTTGCTGGGATGGGTGAGGGACGTGGGGATGTGTCTCCCACAGCAGGCGGGTTGGCTGCCGTCTATGTGTCGGACTCGCCAGCAGGCATAGCCCCGCACTGCCTTTCCCGTAAGCACAGCGTCTGCTGTAAGTAGGTTGCGCTCGCTGTGGCTGTTTGCACCCTGCTGTGCTTAGGAAGCAAACTCTTTCTTCAAAGCTAAGCTTCCTCTTAGGCCTGTGGAATTAGCACCTATTCCAGATTCGTGAGGTCCGAATTAACGTGATTTATCATCACAGCTTCACAAGCTTTGGTCTACTTACACAGCTACCTTTTTCCCGTGGACCAGAATATAGGACACTTGGACCACTAGCTCTTAGAAAACTAAAAACTAAAAGCTAGTTTTCTGCATTGTGCATGAGACGTGGGCTCACAGAGGAATGGAATTGCAGCACTGAGTAAATCTCGGCTGTCGTGGAATGAAGTGACGAGGTGAGATTCCTTGGGGAGCCCGGGGCAGTTGCCCTGTGGATCTCGGCTGATCCGTGTCTTCAGCTGGACGATGGTGGAGAAACTCCAAAAGCTTGAGTGATCGGCACCACCTGTGCAGCCCACGGCTTCATGGACCACCCAGGGGGCGGCAGGTGGATTCCAAACCCAGCGTCCCCTCCAGGTGTTTCCAGCTGTGGGTAAGTGCGGTTGAGAATTCCAGCTTGGCTCACATTTGGATGTTTCCTCGTCATACGTGAGTCTTTGGTCCACCAATGCCCAGGGTGAGCCCGCCGAGGACCTGGGGTAGTTCACATCTATCTTCTGTCATTTCCGGGCTCAGCTGGCATCAGAAGGGGCCCAGAAGGCCTGGTCCGCAGGAGGCACCCGCACCCCTCCTCGCCGCACTCAAACTGTCCTTTTACCGTGCCATTTAGCTCTAAACGATCATGTAATTACATTTGTGGATGTAATCCTGTGGGGCATTATTTTAATTATAGCCCACAATCCCTTTCAGCAGCTCTCAGAGAAATAATTTGTGCAACAAAACGGGCTCTTCAGGCTGCGGGAATGTCAGGGACTCCTGGGCGGGCGCCGCCTCCCCCTCCCGGACCCTGCACAGCCTCGCTATTTCTCAGGAAGGGTGTGCAGGGGCCAGTCCCTGGAGGACGCTCTGCAGGACGGTCCCATCAGTGCAGGTCCCCGAACAGCCTCACCAAGCTCCTTGTCTCCCCATAACCACTCAGCTCCTGATAGCTTATTGTGCATTCTTTAAAGGTAGTTTTGGGCGAATTTTATGATACGTAAATTATACTTCAATAAAGCCACTAAAAATAAAGTTGTTCCTAAGTTGATTATAATCAAGTACAGAAAAGGTACCACACATCATAATCATGGCCATGGGCCGGGGGCGGCAGGTGAGATGACAGTCAGCTGGGAAGGTCTGGGGGTGGCCACCGAAAGGCTCTGAGATTCAATGAGCAGAGGTGTCCAAAGGAAGTGCTGGGGGCTACTTGGCCCTGAGGAGCTCAGGCGTCAGGCATCCCTCCCTCCCGTCTGCCCTCCCCCCTTGTCATTCATTCTTTCAGCCTCATCTTTCAGTGATGAGGGTGGACTTTTCCAGCCGTGCTCAGGTCTTTCAGCTTATTCTTTGACGTGCAGTTACCTTAGGCTCAGCACAGCAGTGGGCTTCCTGCAGAGTCCCTGAGCCCTGACCTCTGGCTTTGGCCCCTGGGGGTCTCAGGCTGCTGGGCTGCTTCTAGATGATGTCCTGTCTGGTGGGTGAGACTCCTTTTGTGTGCATATTCTGCACCTCAGGATAGCTTGGCGAGGAGAGGGAGCCTGCCCGTGGGGGAGGGGATGAAGTCACCCAGTGCAGAAGCTGAGCCAAGGCTTGGGGTGGGCGGGGGTGGGGGTCCAGCCCGTGGAGGGCATCAGGAGACTGGCCAGAAGCCTCTTGTCCTCCCTCCCCCTGGGGGCTCAGTGGTTAGGCTGGGGTGCAGAAACCTGCAGACTTCCCAGAGCCATTTCCAATTTGGGGGAACAGCTGCCTGCCTAGATTTTGCAAGGCCTCCTGCTGGCCTCTGAGCGCTGCGTGCTTATCCTGATGGGGGAAAAATGAGTAGTTTAGAGCTCGACTGCCACAGATCCTGTCCAGAAAATAGAATTAAGAGCCATCAGAAAGAGTGATGGGGTTTTCTCACTACCACTTAGCCCTTCCCCAGGTGCCCAAACACCTCACATATTAACAGTAAGTGCCCGATAAAAGCATAGGAGGGGAAGGGGGGAAGGGGTGGGCTCTTCCTTAGAGGTCCTCATGGGATCAGAGGACTGGAGTCTGACCGCCAACAGGCCTCGACCCCCCTCCCCACCCGGCGTGCTTGTGGGGTCACTCTCTCGGCCAGGTAGGGACTCAGCGGGATGCTGCCTCCTCTCCAAAGTGATCTCTTTCCGCAGCTGTTACTGGTGCCTCACGTTCCTCCGCTAGGATCTGGGTGGCCTCCTGGGTGCTGACTCCACTCCACTCATTAACTGGTGGCCCTGTGCACATTCATGAACTTCTTGAGTCCCTGTTTTCCACTGTGAAATGGAGACAGGACTATGGAGACAGGACTGAGACGCCCCAGAGCTGTTTTGGGAAATACAAGCCCCTGAGGGGTAGACTTTTCATGTCGCTGAGCAGGTGTCCACCGGCTGCACACAGGATCATCCCATGCTGGAGCTCTGGGGGTCATGTCCATGTCTTCAAGGGCGTCACAGAGACTTTCCCTATGATAACTTGGCAGTGGGGACGGTCACCACAGTTTTCACAAATGAATTTCAGAGAATTTCAGAGCAAACATCAAAGCTGGCATTTTATCTCCGGCTGCAGCCCCTGCCCTCTGGGAGGCAGGCCGAGGGATCGAGACTCCTGGAGCCCTCACCCCGGGGGCCCAGGGGATGACCCTGATAGTGAAATTTAAATCTATTTTTGCTCTTATCAGTTTCCCCAGAAACCTGTCTTGGCCGAGCCGCCGGGGAGCCGGCCTGGGTGTCCAGACACCACGATCCGCCTTGTGAATCACAGCAGCTCAGTGAGGTGCTTCCGAAGAGCACTGGTTTCTGTCCAGGGCGCAAAAGCCAGACGTGCCCCTGGGGTCATTTAGAAAATACGGAAAAGTGGGAGGAAGAGAATAAACCCCCATAATGCTCTAAAGGGTTAGTTGCTCTGGGCAAACTAAATTGAGAAATTCCCTTTAGTCTTAAACAGAAAGAATCAAAATAAGGGGAAGTTTGACCCATTTCTCATCAGCTGTTCGCGCTTCTCTCCCCTCCGGTCCTTCCCGAGGGAGGCGGTAGGACGGTGTTGGGCGGTCACCCCAGGGCCGCTGCCCCGCGGGGGCGCCCCCTCGGCAGGCTCCCGCTTCTGCCCGTGTGGCACATCAGTGGTGGTTTTGCGGGAGCTGCCGGTTTACGGACACGGTGTCAGACGACCGCACCTAGCTGCCTCTTTGTTTCTCTTCCTCAGTGTGGTGGTTTTGAGATTTCTCTCCGTGGACATGTGCACATTCAGTCCATCATTTTAGTGACAGGGTCGTCCCATTGTATGAGCGTTCATCCTCCTTGGTGGGCTTCGCCGGGCGCCGCCTTCCCCTGCGTGTCCCGGAGGTGG